TCATGCATTCGTTTGAACATTTTACTTCAGTCTAAACCCCTTAACAGGAATTGAACACTCTAAAAGGCAAACTAACACAACAGTAATGACCATGAGTAACTGAGGAAAAATGGTAATATAGTCGAAGCTACGATCGAAAGGCAGCATGGGAAGGTACAGAATCGCAATACTAAGAGAATAAAAGTGGGAAAATTTCAGTCCCAAATCCGGTTCTATCACGTCAACGTTTTAAACTGACGTCTTTTCAATGCTCCATTGTCATATTAAAAGGTACGTTTGTGTCCAAGCCTTTGCATCACAGCGAGACTTYAGTTGAGCCTRCAGTGATAGATACCTTTTRTTCACMCCKTKRMCCRTTACAGGTATYTATSATTGCAAGCTCAAACTCTTTCTTACTTTGATGCAAAGTCTCTGCTACCTTTCAAGATCCCGTCAGAGACTATAAAATGAAGTATTAGGTGTACTATTGATTTATTTGTTCAGTAATTACTTACCCAGTAGTTATGGGCGGGTTGGATTTTCTATAAAAGAAAAGGAGACTAAGTTACGTTGCAAAAACTTTCCAGTGCATGAATAGGGTTGGGAAAATTTAGAAAATCTTAAATATTTATCCTATATTTAGTCTCGTTTGCAGCTGTTCTCTTTCTCTCTGAAACAGCTGCCATCTTAACCAATAATGTACATGTATCTCTCAATTTTTGCAGTCAGTTGTTTCCTAGTACCAAAACGATATGATCCCAACCATCCCCCCTCCCTTATTCCATCGCCTCACTTCCAATTTCAGCTGGAAAATTTCCATTRTACAGTATGTGCTGTGAAAGTTAAATACCTTGACCCCCATGAAAAATGGCATGACTGTTACTTTGACACTATTAGTGGTTTCTTTATGAACATCTGTCAGCTCTAACCACTTGTGGTTCTTTTCTTGCCAAACTTGAAGAGAATCTTTACAGCTAAATGGTGGAACTACAGGCAGAAGATAGATGTTTTTGGTCTGTATCCTCGGAATTGCATGCGTTAACATTATTTTGTCATTGATTTTATGGAATRCTTTAGTGTAGTTCACACTTTGACACAAGCATAGTCAAGCATAGGAGTCATGACAATTATAATTATGAACAAAAACATGTATTTACCCTTTCCAGGTTCTGGTGCTAAAAATTTATCAAACAAATCATGATTAATCGGTTTGGAAAAAGGATCGCTGATTATATATGGTAGGATGTCACCATGTGATACATAATCCAATCCTGAAAAATAAAACAAAATGATGCAGTGAGTTTACTTTTTTCTTTTTTTTTTCTTTTTTGTCTTTTCTTTTTTCTTTTTTTTGATAGTAGTTGTTATGGCCTACTGGWTATTTTAAAAAAGAAGTTTATCAAGGGTAAAGTTATGCATCTGGAACCAGTTGAATGAAGGGAGGATAAATGTATCCACTCTACTTTTGTATGGAATTTATCCACTGAACAAATGTAGATTTCATCTAGCAGATAGCCCTATCCACCATTCATGCAACTGGTTTCAGATTATTAGATTAGTATGTATATCATTTGTTGTATAAAGACTGATATGCTTTAGAATTGCTCCATTTTATACCCAACCACCTTTCATTTTTAAAAAGTAAGTACAAAAATTGATGAAATAATTTTTCAAAATCAAAAGAGCTTAGGTATTTAACTTTMTTCCCCCAGCTCAATCACAGCTGTTCTTCCTTAACAAGCAACATAGTTTCCTTCACGGTTACCTGCACCATCTTAAGAAGGTAGCCATGCCTTTACATCAAAGCAAGACGGCTGTTGAGCGCACAATGATAGAAACCTTCTTTCACACCTGCAGACAATTATTCACAGGTATCTACCATTGCACGCTCAACGGTCGTCTAGCTTCGGTGCAAAGGCACGGCTACCTTTCAAGATGGCGCAGGTAACCGTGAAGGAGACTATTGTCTTCCCCTTCCCCCAACCWTTTGCTCTGCCACAGGAATAAATTAGCTGCTAGCACTAGTGTACCATGAACTTAAATATTTAGTAAAATTTTATATTTGTAAATTGATTATTAAGAACTATACCTGGGATGGTGTACAGTGCATTGTCGCTATCATGTCCAAGGAATGTTACAATCTCTGGCTGTGCTCTCTGAAAATATTATCATTACATCAGCCATTGGTTATCAGGACTAAAGTGCACATTAAAATAGGCATACAAGACATTAGTCGCCTTTGCAGCCTCTTACTATGTTGGTCTTCATGTCCCTCCCGAAAAAAGAAGGTTTTAATTTAATTGAAATATTACTTTCAGGGAGGAAATTTGAAGAAACCGGAAGTTGCAAGACATGCCTTGGAGATGAAATGGCCAGAATAGGTATATGGTATGTTTTAATAGGGTTATAAAAGTGCTTGTGTTAATAAATCCGGATAAAAAGTGTCTTACACAAAGAAAGTGAACCAGTTTATCATTGTCTCTAATCCAGACAATGTACCTTTTGCAAATGTAACTCTTTCACACACATATTTATGAAAGATCTTCTTGGGAATGATCTTCTTGGGAAGAGAGGAGTGACATGACACATGATTTCTGCTTCACTTGCTTTTGTCTTTATAACAATAGCTTGCTTGGTTTGTTGTTGTTATGAGGTGTGTTTCAATACATGCTTACGACATAAACCGGAAGTAATTTAGGGATTAAAAAATGTCCTTTTCCTACTGACAATTAATTTTTCTTGAATCCAGGTGAATGGAATAACTTGATMTTTGCCATCTGAACACCTCAAGGGCCCTTAGGCCTCRTTTCCATTCCTTTGTTTTCTATTGTTTTCAATTCACTTCCGGCTTAYGTCGTAAGCATCTATCTCATCAGTTGAAATTACAGTAATGGTATAATCAGTGAAACAATTTAAAATAAATTATATGGATTGTATATAGTACATACTATGAATGGAGTATCCCTTGTATCAATCAASGTTTGGTAATATGTCCTTGTTTGGGCCTTTAGTTCTTTACTTATATTACTTAAATTACTTGGAGTTTCTTCAAGATTCCTAAAAAAGAAGATTTAATACAAAAAAGATAAATCATTTTCTTGATTTTACAGGAGTAGTTTCAGATTACCGATCCTTGGAAACTCAGGGGTAATCGTCTGTCCCTTATTCCTTGCGCCAAAAAAATCATACCCCTAGTTTTGAATTTCAAAATGTCAACCAGGAAATTCACCAACCACTTTGAAGATTCAACTCAATCTATCCACCAATCAGGAACAAGCACAGATTGACAAACGTTTCACTTAAAAACACATCATAAATAAATCTTTGATGAACTCAAAATAGCCCCAAAACATTTTATTTTTAGATGCAAACACCAAATCAATCTATAAGTATCCCCACAAATTTTGAATCATTTTGAAAGGCAAAACRTGATTGACCTCAACGTGAAACTCCAACTTTAGGAACAAAGTCTAAGAGACTTTGTGCCCAGGGGATTTTATTTTTGCAAGCAAGGAATGAGTAACAGAAGATTACCTCTGTGTGCCCAGAAGGTTGCAGAATATCTTTTATCTTATTGTAGATAATAAAATAAATAATGTAGTTTTCACAATCACTGCAACCTTCATATTACTGTGAACAGTGCTAGCCAATTACTTTCAATATCTGTATTTTGGCTGTGTTAGAGTATTTTTCTGATATATTCATGTAAAAATTMCTGTAAAATTATCTTGAACTTATTAAATTCTTTCCACAATAATTGTTTACATTTCCTAATATCCTTAATTTACTCACAACCCATAGTACAATGCATGTACTTTAAAACGAAAAAATATTTAATTCAAAGTTACTGGATTAAAGCCAAAACATAGGGTTTATATTGTGGTACGAATGGCATCTAAAGGAGAACAAACAAATTGTGTTGAAGTCAGCTGTTTAGAGMAAAATTTATTATAAAACTTACTTTTCATTCTCAATGGATTCTCTGTCTCTGTCATACACTCGCGCTACCCAAGGAAACAAAATCACACCTCTATAACCAAATACCTTGTGTAGAAACAACTGTAAACAGAAATCTGAATAAGCTTGCAAGCGTACTAAGTTTATACAAAAAACATGACTTCCAAGTACATACAACAGGTGTTGCTAAATTYAAAATAACGACTAAATCTCGTGTTAAGTCATTTAAGTACTAAGCAAACGGTTTAAGTTATTTTATATCCAATGTTAACTGACCGACTTACAAAAGAGATAGTACAATTGCAAAAAAGCAGTTAGTCTAGGTTAGTGGGCGTGAAAAATTACCTGACCAGCATCGTATGTCCCTTGAGCTTTGGGCACTTGAAATCGGCCGATTTCTGTCAACCTGTGATTTTARATAAAAATAGAAAGCARTTGATKATATCTTTTTCAAAAATWCAAGTGAAWAGARYMGTGAAGCCTATTTTACCGTGCAAAGTGCCGTTTGAACTGAAGAAGACAACTAACAACAGTGAGCCGCGCCATTTTGTTTCGTTTTGTAGATGGTGACCGCTGACATGACAATGTACAACTGGAACAAAGGTCAAAATGAACTCCATCGAGTCCACGTAGTCGTTCACGTACTCCCTGTCCCCGGGTTCCCGACTGGAGCAAAGAAATGTTTTATGAAAGAATTAAAAAAAGACAACTTTTACTTGTATCACTTGATTGATCAGCTTACATTTTTTTGTCATACATGGGGAGCACAGGATGCCCGAGCACGGGTCCCTGGAAGCGTCTATGAAATAATGTCTATGGAAATGTCAGTAGTTCCGGTGCAACATTCATTTTTCGGCCAACGTCTACTGAAAAAGGAAAGAAAAACAAAAAAAAAAAAAAGAGGAAAAAGAAAAAGAAAAACATAATCAAGAAAAAAAGAAAAATACAAAATTGCAACAGCGGGGCTCGAACTCAGGCGTTTCAAATTCGTGTTGGATGCACCCCCTGTCAAATATAAGAAATAATGAAAATATAAAATGAAAAAGATGGGACGATTCCCCCGAGACATTCTGTGAAGCTGAGGCGTCGAATCGGCTTACGTTGCGGTTAGAGATTTCRGCTCTTCCACGCTATCCCAAGTGAACATAAAACTAAGTCTTAACCAAAAGGCCAGGGAGTGAGGGKGTAGCCGCCCACTAGAGCATACCTTTAGCTACCCTCTTAGACCATCGTACTATGAAGWCACTKATACATATCTAACATCTAATCGGGATAGTCTATTCGGTGAAGTTCTTTGCTAATGAATGACGTATTCAAAATCCTTAGGGAGCAGCGAGCCAATCAGAGCTCACCTCCAAAATTAGCATACAGCACAAAGCGTCTTCGACGGTTTTAATATTTCTGGGGATTGGGGCTTTTGCGCTGATTTGCTACCGAGAACAATGTACTCCATGAAATGTGACGGCTTTCTGACTTCTGAGTGTTTACTGATTTTCAAACCACTGAGTCAAAGGGACGATGACTGAAGATGTGCATTAAAATACAGTTATCAGTACTAGTGTATGAACAATGCGATACAAAACTCAGTGAAATAAGGGCTTACTACCAGGTTCTAAAGCTATGGCCTTTAGCCKGGATTCAACGGAGCACAGACCTGGTCAGACCTGTGAACTCCATGTTGAAGCCGAACGTTCCGCATTGCTGAGATTCTTCTTGATTAATAATCGTTTACCCGCCGTGAATAAATATTAGCTATAATTTACATCAACCATAAATAATAAATGCGTTACTAAATACATTTTCGTCGTAAAGCTATTATCATTCATGGTTATTGCTCAAAAAAATTCCTTTGGTTATTCTTTTTGGTGCCTTGGTTCGAAGATTGGATCATGGAGGTTCAGTAGTCTACGAGGTCGAGAGGTCTAACTATTTTAAGATAACCATACCCCTGGTTGGACAAAAAGACGTACTATTGCATGTAATACTGACGTGAGGTCTGATTTTCTTAAATTGAAGCCTCATGA